GGAGAATGGAGGAGAAGGGATTGCGGTGTGGCCATCCCTCCTGGGGGGTGATTTCTCGCTTTCTGTCTCTCTGTCTCTCCAATGAGTGCACGTGCCCTATACCACAAATCTCTCTCTCAAAAAAAAAAGAAGATGACAACGACTGGGAGCCAGCAGCAGGTGGCATAGTGGTTAAGGTCCTGGACCCCACATGCTTGACTCTGCAGTTTGAGTCCCAGACCCGGTGACTTGAAAAACACTCTGGGTGCGCATGTGCGTGTCCAAAATCCCGAGAGGAGAATGGAGGAAAAAGGATTGAGGCGTGGCCATCCCCCCCGGGGGTTGAGTTCTCACTTTCCCTCTCTCTGTCTCTGTCTCTCTCTGGTGGGCACACTTGTTCTATGGCAAAAAATACTAAAAAATGAGGAGACTTAGGCAAGAGATGTGCTTTGCTTCAGACACTGAGATTTTTCAGGTCTACGGTGTGGATGTAGGCGAGGCTATGACCGGGGGTTCCAGGGAAACTGGCCTGTTTGTGCAGAGGGAATTCTATCCTGAGAATCCACTGTCAGGGACCCCAGTTCCTGCCCACCCCCAGGCTCCGAGTGGGCAGGGCCTACTGTATCAGCCGCCACGGGGCCCTGCAAACCTCACTGGTCCACTGGAGCTCAGGCTGCAGCCAGAGCCACTTCCAAACAAGGCTGCCTATGCTCTCAAGGGGAGAATCTGCCGCTCCACGGTTTATACTGAAATGCCCTTGGCTTTGGACCATTGCATTTTAACATCATTTAGGAGGAGAATTATAAACAGGCCAGTGGCCTGAACACTTAGCAGGGTTGCGAGAACTCTTTAATACCAAGTTTGTCTATGGCTGCTCCGGGAAGCTGGCCAGGTTCAGGTTAGTGACATTCCAGGAGCCTGAATTGGGAATCTTTGTGCAATCGCGGGCCTTCAAGACTTCCAGGATCGTTTTGTCTGCATAAGGAATGTGAAGAAGGCACAGGGATTAGCTGGAAGAGGGAGCCCGAAACTGGTTCCCTGGCCAGGGGCGCTGGGTTTGTTAGAAAGCAATGCCTTCAATGGGCATTCGGCCGGCACGCACCAGGCTACCGAGAATCCTCAAGGGAGCCGCTCATGAAAGGATTTTTTTTAAAGAGAGATTTTTGCTATAGGGTGTGTGCACTCAGTGGAGAGACAGAGACAGTCAGAGAGACAGAAAGCAAGAAATTACCCCCCCAGGTGGGATGGCCATGCTGCAATCCCTTCTCCTCCATTCTCCTCTCAGGATCTTGGGCATGCATGCACATGTGCCCGGTGTGAGTTTAAGCCACCAGGTCCCGGACTCGAACCGCGGTTGGCTACATGGGAGTTCAGTGACATAGCCATTATGCTAACTGCTGGTCCCTATGCCTACTAAGTTTTATTTTAGGTTTTTGCCATAGGGCATGTGCACTCACGAGAGAGAGACAGAGAGAGACAGAGAGAGAGGAGAAAGAGAAATTACCCTCCCCCTGGGGGAAGTGGAGGATGACCATGCCACAATCCCCTCTCCTCCATTCTCTCAAGACTCTGGGCACACACGCATATGTGATGGCGTGATTTCTCACACAACTGGGTCCAGGGCTTGAACTCTGGGAATCTATGTCATACGGGAGTCTAGCGCCTTCACCACCACGCCACCACCACGCCACCTGCTTGCTGGCCCAGTCTTCCTGCATTCTCTCTCTCTCTCTCTCTCTTTTTTTTTTTTTTTTAAAGAGAGAGATGTTTGCTACAGGGTGCATGTACTTGCCCGAGAGATAAAGAGACAGAAAGTGAGAAATTGCCCCCCAGGAAGGATGGCCGCACTGCATGGCCCCTTATCCTCCATTTTCCTCTTGGGATTCTGGGCATGCACACACGTGCGCCCTGCATAGATTTCAAGTATCCCCCCAAACCCGCCAGCCCCTCTGTGGACCGGCCCTCCTCACCTAGTTGTGGATCTTTACAGACCAGGCCGCTCACTGGGGCTTCCTTCATCTTCTCTCCCGTACCACCCTCTCCATCTTGGCCTGCCTCCTGCTTCCGGAACCAACACCGAGCCTTCCAGACACTGATTGTATGCCTTTTGGCACAGTGAAGCTTATTTCGCTCAGCACATAATTAATTTTATCTGGTATCTCAGCACGCATTCCTAAGGCTTCTTGATGAGTTGTAAAGAGAATATTCTGTTTCTTAATAATCTTTTTTTAAAAAAGAATTACTTTATTTATCTTTATTTATTATTATTATCATTATTATTTTCCAGTTGGATCAGAGAGAGACAGAGATAGAGAGGAAGTGAGAAAGCAAGCCACCAGGTCCAAGACTTGAACCATGGTCAGCCATGTGGGAGTCCAGTGCCTTTAACCACCGTGCCACCTGCCGGCCCCTGTTTGTAAATATTCTTTTTTTTATTTTTTCTGGAGAGGTTCTTTTTTGGCTATAGTGTGCGTGCGCTCGCCAGAAAGACAGAGAGAGACAGAGAGACAGAAAGCGAGAAATCACCCCCCAGAGGGGATGGCCACGCCGCAATCCCTTCTCCTCCATTCTCCTCTCGGGATCTTGGGCATGCACGCACACGCGCCCGGCGTGAGTTTAAGCCACTGGGTCCGGGACTCAAACTGCAGTCGACTACGTGGGAGTCCAGCAACATAGCCCTTACGCTAACTGCTGGTCTCTGTTTCTGAATATTCTAACCCCCCCAAATCACTAACATATGTGTTTTCTGCTGATTATACACTCTGAGCCCAGGATGGTGGATTAAAGGACCCCCAAAGCTCCCCTTCTACTCATGGTGAAGAGATAAGAAAAATCATATAAGGGGCATGGTGGTTAAGGCGCTGGACCCCCACATAGCCAACTGTGGTTCAAGTCCTGGACCTGACAGCTTTGCTTTCTCACTTTCTCCCTCTTTGGTCAAATTTAAAAATATTAATAGCAAATAAAATAAAGACATCCTAAAAAAAAAAAAAAGAAAGAAAGAAAGAGAAAGAGAAAGAAAAGCAAGAAACATCAAAGGATCCTAACTGGCAACTTCCTTCTGAAATACAGAAGCCGTCTGAGTTTACCCTGATTAAAGCCCAGCTTGGAGAGGGTCCGGAGGCTGGTCAGCCTCCCCGAGGCCAGGGCTGTTGCCATGGCAGCTCTACAACAATCTTTAAAAATAGATCCGATTTCCCCGTAAGCCCAACACGGATCCTCTGGGCTCTTACTAGCTATGTTTGGATGGAGATTAGCCGGATGCGAGAGTGACAGCTTAGAGGAGGGTTGGGGGGACAGAAAACCAGCAAAGAGCCTGACTACAGTGATCAGATAAATCACGCGGGCTCCCCGGGGCCTGCGTCACACGCCATCACCCGGGTACCCCGCCCCCAAGGCAGCTGGTTTAGACCCCGACGCCCCAGGGATCCGAGGAGGGAGGACTACTCTCACCGCGGTCCTCGGGCCTTCCAGACGCAGCGGCAGCGCGGGCGACAGAGAGCGCGGAGTCTGCGGCCTCTTCTTGAGAAGGGTTTCTACTCGACACGATTTGATGTGCCTGTCTCCACAGAGAGAGGAAACGGGTTGTTGACATGTTTGGCCACAGCGACAGAGAACACACTGTCCTTGCAGAGATAAGCAGAAGTCCCAGGGACCTTCGGGCAAGCTGGAAGACATGATTTATGTGCAAGCACCGGCCACTCTTAGGGGGGAGCTGGGCTTTAAAAGCACTCAGAGTAAATGCAGGACACTCAGTCCAGGTGGCTCGGTGCTTTCACCAGGGCCTGTCATTAACAATCATCTAAAAGTCTGTGATCTTGGGACCAGCAGTTAGCGTAATGGCTATGTCGCTGGACTCCCATGTAGTCGACTGCAGTTCGTGTCCCGGACCCGGTGGCTTAAAACTCACCCTGGGCACATGTTTGTGTGCATCCAAGATCCCAGAGGAGAATGGAGGAGAAGGGATTGCGGCATGGCCATTCCCCCTAGGGGGTTATTTCTGGTTTTCTGTGTCTCTGTTTCTCTCTGTCTTTCTGGCAAGCGTACGCACCTTATAGCAAAAAACTCTCCAAAAAAAAAGAAAAGAAAAGAAAAAGAAAGAAAAAAACAAAAACAAAAACAAGATCCCGAGAGGAGAATGGAGGAGAAGGGATTGTGGTGTGGCCATCGCCCCCGGGGGGGTGATTTCTCACTTTCTGTCTCTCTGTCTCTCCAGCGAGTGAACGGTACCCTATAGCAAAAAAATTCTCAAATGAAAAAAGAAGTCTGTGATCCTTGGATCCACAGGTAGTGGGATGGTGAAGACGACTGGATTGTACATGGCCAAGTGCATGGTTTGAATCTTGGATCTGGTGACTCGAAACTCACACCAGGCACGTGTGTGTTCATGCCCAAAATCCTGAGAGGAGAAGGGATTGTGGTATGGCCAACTTCCTTTGGGGGTAGTTTCTTATTCGCCCACCCCCTTCTGTCTCTCTGGTGAGTGCATGCTCTATGGCAAAACTGAAAAATAAAAATAAAACATTAATCGAATAGGACTGACCTAAATTAAACCGTGCTGGGTTGAATTTTACTGAATAAACGCGATGCTCAGTTTGCAGGTTTTAAACATCACAAGTGTCCCCCTCCATCTGCCTCTCTGCAAGCATATGGTTTTTAAAAGCTTCATGAACAGCAAATCATAAATTAGATCAGGGACTGAGTTTCCAAAACGAATAATGAATAATAAATGTTTGCTTATATTAGCATCTCAACCTAGAAAAACGCTGAGGTCATGAAAAGCTTGCCATAAATTCAGATCCCCTGAAGGCTTCAGGGCACACTTTCTAGATCCCATGAGCATTTTTTTTTTAAAAGAATCATTTTATTTCTTTTTAATTATTTTATTTAACTTTATTTATTTATTTATTTTAATTTGACTAGAGAGGGGGGCAGAGAGAGAGAGAGAGAGAAGAGAAAGTGAGAAAGAAAGCCACCAGGTCTGAAACTTGAACCATGGTCGGCCATGTGGGAACCCAGCATCCTTAGCCACCACGCCACCTGCCGGCCCTTAACTTTATTTATTTATTTTTAATTGAACCAGAGAAGAGTGAGACAAGGTGAGAGAGAGAGGGAAAGTGAAAAAGCAAGCCGCCAGGTCCGGGACATGAACCACGGTCGGCCATGTGGGAGTCCAGCGCCCTTAACCACCAAGCTACCTGCCGGCCCCAGATATTTCTTTGTTTTAAGAAATATTTTATTTAATTGCATTCATCATTATTAATATTATTTTTTTTTAATCTAACCAGAAAGAGACAGAGAGAAAAGAAAAGTGAGAAAGCAAACCTTCAGATCTGAGTCTTTTTTTTTTTTTTGCAGAGTTTTTCGCTCTAGCGCGTGCGC